GAAGATATTGAACAAAACCGGCCCCAGGACTGACCCTTGGGGCACTCCACTTGATACCAGCTGCCAACTAGACATGGAGCCATTGATCACTACCCGTTGAGCCCGACAATCTAGCCAACTTTCTGTCCACCTTATAGTCCATTCATCCAGCCCATACTTCTTTAACTTGCTGGCAAGAATACTGTGGGAGACCATGTCAAAAGCTTTGCTAAAGTCAAAGAACAACACATCCACCGTTTTCCCCTCATCCACAGAGCCAGTTATCTCGACATAGAAGGCAATTAGATTAGTAAGGCATGACTTGCCCTTGGTGAATCCATGCTGACTGTTCCTGAACACTTTCCTCTCCTCTAAGTGCTTCAGAATTGATTCCTTGAGGACCTGCTCCATGATTTTTCCAGGCACTGAGGTGAGGCTGACTGGCCTGTAGTTCCCAGGATCCTCCTTCTTCTCTTTTTTAAAGATGGGCACTACATTAGCCTTTTTCCAGTTGTCCGGGACTTCCCCCGATCGCCATGAGTTTTCAAAGATAATGGCCAATGGCTCTGCAATCACATCCACCAACTCCTTTAGCACTCTCGGATGCAGCGCATCTGGCCCCATGGACTTGTGCTCATCCAGCTTTTCTAAATAGTCCCAAACCACTTCTTTCTTCACAGAGGGCTGGTTACCTCCTCCCCATGCTGTGCTGCCCAGTGCAGTAGTCTGGGAGCTGACCTTGTTCGTGAAGCCAGAGGCAAAAAAAGCATTGAATACATTAGCTTTTTCCACATCCTCTGTCACTAGGTTGCCTCTCTCATTCAGTAAGGGGCCCACACTTTCCTTGACTTTCTTCTTGTTGCTAACATACCTGAAGAAACCCTTCTTGTTACTCTTAACATCTCTTGCTAGCTGCAACTCCAGGTGTGATTTGGCCTTCCTGATTTCACTCCTGCATCCCCCAGCAATATTTTTATATTCTTCCCTGGCCATTTGTCCAATCTTCCACTTCTTGTAAGCTTCTTTTTTTGAGTTTAAGATCAGCAAGGATTTCACTGTTAACCCAAGCTGGTCGCCTGCCATATTTACTGTTCTTTCTACACATCGGGATGGTTTGTCCCTGTAACCTCAATAAGGATTCTTTAAAATACAGCCAGCATCTCATGGTCACTGCCTCCCAGGTTCCCATCCACTTTAGCTTCCCTTACTAATTCTTCCTGGTTTGTGAGCAGCAGGTCAAGAAGAGCTCTGCCCCTCATTGGTTCCTCCAGCACTTGTACCAGGAAATTGTCCCCTACACTTTCCAAAAACTTCCTGGATTGTCTGTGCACCGCTGTATTGCTCTCCCAGCAGATATCAGGGTGATTGAAGTCTCCCATGAGAATCAGTGTGTGCGATCTAGTAACTTCTGTGAGTTGCCAGAAGAAAGCCTCGTCTACCTCATCCCCCTGGTCCGGTGGTCTATAGCAGACTCCCACCACAACATTACCCTTGTTGCTCACACTTCTAAACTTAATCCAGAGACACTCAAGTTTTTCTGCAGTTTCATACTTATTATTCTCCATTTAATTATAATTTCAACCAATTTGCCAGGCACAGAGATAAAGCTCACTGGGATGTAATTCCCCGGATCACCCCTTGAATATTTTAGGTACAACATTTGCTATCTTCCAATCCTCTGGAAAACTATTTGATTTTAATTAGAAATTGTATATTATTGCTAGTAATTCAACCACTTCATTTTTGAGCTCCTTCATTACTCTTGGGTGTAACCATTTGGGCCTGGTGATTTATTACTCTGTAATTTATCAGTTTATTCCAAAACCTCCTCTACTGACACCTCAATCTGCGACTATTTCTCAGATTTATCTCCTAAAAAGAATGGCTGAGGTGTGGGGCTCTCCCCCACATCCTCTACAGTGAAATCCAATGCAAAGAATTCATTTAGCTTCTTTGCAACAGGCTTGTCTCCCTTGAGTGCTCCTTTAGCACCTTGATTGCCTAGTGACCTCACTGATTGTTTGGCAAACTTCCTACTTCTGATGTACTTAAAAAAAAATTGCTGTTAGTTTTTCTGTCTTTAACTATTTGCTCTTCACATTATTTCTTGGGCTGCCTTATTACACTTTTACACTTGATTTGCCAGAGGCTGTGCTCCTTTCTATTTTCCTCAGTAGGATTTTGTTTCCAGTTTTTAAAGAATGCCTTTTTGCCTCTAACCACCTCTTCTACTCTGCTGTTTAGTCATGGTGGCATTTTTTTTGTTCTCTTACTGTTTTTTTTATTTGGGGTATACATTTAGTTTGAGCCTCTATTATGGTGTTTTTAAATAGCTTCTATGCAGTTCTCAGCCATTTCATGCTTGTGGCTGTGCCTTTTAATATCTGTTTAACTAGCTTCTGCATTTTTGTGTAGTCCCCCTTTCTGAAATTAAATGCTGCTGTGGTAGCTTTCTTTGGCATTTTCACCCTACAACGATGTGAAATTTAATTACATTATGGTCACTGTTATGAAGTGATTCAGCTATATTCACCTCTTGGACCAGATCCTGTGCTCCACTTAGGACTAAATCAAGAATTGCCTTTCCCTTTGTCGGTTCCAGGACTAGCTGCTCCCAAGAAGCAGACACTAATGGTGTCTAGAAATTTTATCTCTGCATCCCATCCTGAAGTGACGTGTACCCAGTCAATATCGGGATAGTTGAAAATCCCCATGATTATTATGTTTTCTGCCTTTGTAGCCTCTCTAATGTCTCTGGGCATTTCACAATCACCATCATCATCCTGGTCAGGTGGTTGGTAGTATATTTGTACTGCCATACTTTTATTATTCAAGCATGGAATTTCTGTCCACAGAGATTTTATAGTACAGTTTGATTCATCTAAGATTTTTACTTTATTTAACTCTATGCTTTCCTTCACATATAGTGCCACTTCCCCACCAGCACAATCTACTCTGTCGTTCCTATGTGTTTTGTACCCTGATATTACTGTGTCCCACTGATTATCTTCATTCCACCATGTTTCTGTGATACCTATTATATATCAATCTCCTCATTTAAAACAAGGCACTCTAGTTCACCCATTTTAGTATTTAGACTTCTAGCATCTATGTATAAGTGTAACACGTGCTAATAGGGAGATATCTAGTTAGGAGACTCAATGAGGGGAGGTAGGAGTGAGCTGTGTTTGGGTCATTTTTGCTAGGCAGATTAAGCACTCCACATCCAGAAGCTTCTGGAATTGGGTGTAGTAGTTTTGGGTCTGGTTCAATAGGTTCCCTGTTGCTGTAATCAGACTCCATGAGAGTAAGCAGTCAGGGTAGCTGCTTTACAAAGGGCCATATGCCCTGTGTGAGTTGGGAGAAGCTGAGTCCAGGAGCAGGAGGCTGGCTGTTGTCCCTAATTCTGAAGCATTTTGCAGCAGGTTAGTGATATTGTTAACCCTCCAACAGGGAAGCAAAGCAATGCTAATTATAGCAAGAGGAAATTGGGGGAAAAATAACTGTTTTAATTGTATGCTTTGAAGGTTGTTTTGATTTTAGCCAAACTGTTCTAGTAAAATTGTCTCAGTTAGTCTGAGTCACCATTTCTTTAAACGTAGTAATGGGGACAGAGTCATTTCTATTCTGCTATTCTCAGTTTTGTATTTTCTTGTAACAGGGTTTTCTTTAAATCTATCCACTTAACTGAGTGGTTGGTTAATCAGTCAGCTGACTGGCTAGCAGTGATTTCAGCAGAGGAAGTGTCAACTTCTAAGGACTTTACTTTTACTTTTAACTTAGGGTCTTTTTGACTAATCTTACTTTACTGAAATCTCCCTTTATAAAGCTTAAGGTCACTCACTCTATAGCTTAATATCTGTTTAACTAGCTTCTGCATTTTTGTGTAGTCCCCCTTTCTGAAATTAAATGCTGCTGTGGTAGCATTTTAGGAGAATAGCTTCTCCTCCTGGCTGCTCTAGCTCTAGCTGTTCCAAGATGCAATCCTTTCAAGTGCTGACAATTCCTTCTCTGACCTATCAGTCTTCATTCTCAAAGAAAACCTGCACAACACTTTCAAAACTGGGGTTGGAATCCGCCCTGTCAGAGAGAAGGAAGACAGCACCATCTCCCTACCTGCCTCACACCTCATATCCTGCACCTATTGAAGATCAGAGGGATGCCCACATATAAAGCCCCCTCCCCCAGCTTAAGGGGAGGAGCTACTGGACCCAAAAATCAAAGGATTCTGGAGACAAAGGGGGGGGGGGATGGGAGTGCAGGTATCTAGAGTGGGCTACATACCTTGTTCCTGTTGAGAATCTAGGAGCGGATGGGCACAAGCCCACCCACATCTAAAGGTCCCTCCCTTCCCCAAACCTAAGGGGAGGAGCTGCCAGACCCAGATCTCAAGTAATTCCAGGGGTACAACTAATGAAAAACAGGGACGGGAGTGAGGGTCACAGGGGAGCTAAAGGGAGTCACATCCCCTGCAGCCGCAGGAGCAGGTCTAGCTGGGAGGTCTCTGAGCACCTGCAGTGCTTTATCTGCAGCAGTTGCTCAGCAGCTTCCGTGCAGGCTGCCTGCTGCATCACAGAAGTGAGTAGCTCTGGTTGTTCCATTGCCGGCTGTGGGAACCCCAGAGTGTGCAGGATAGGAGCTTGACTTGCTCCACCTGAGCCTAGGAGAGCACCTGACACAGCATGCTATTCTCCCCTATACCACTACCCAGGGTAGCAGAGGGGATAGGTTAAAAAGGAGAAGCTGAGAGCCAACAGGTTACAGCTCCCCAGTTCTCTGCAGGGAACTTGCAGGTGGTTTCTGCTCCCTTTGCACTGACTGAGCATGACAGGAACACAATAGGTCATAGAATCTGCCCCAAAGAATTGATTGTGACCCTCTGACTTTTTGAAACATGTTAATCTCTCAGGCTGACAAGGCTGCACAGTGCTGGCCTACCACCACACTGGCGCATGGACACCCCAATGGAGTCTCTACGCCACTCTCTGTGGGATAGTGCCCCTGCGGTGAGGTGCTCTTACCAGGTAAAGGTTCTTGAGCTTGGGCAGGTGCAGCCCTGCGGTGGTTTCTAGCTTGTTTCCTCGCAGCTCTACCGTGTGCAGGTTTGTCAGCTTCCCTGGATCCAGACCCGATATCACCTGGATTTCATTCCCTGAGTGACAGAGAAGGAAGCAGCAAAAGTGTTATTTCCCTTCCCAGCACACAGCAAGGAGCACTTCTTTGTGGTGAGGCCTGGTACACACCTACCTTTAAGGTTGAGGCTGCCCAGGCGTGGGTGGGTAATGCCCTCTGTGTCCTTGATGCGGTTGTGGGCGAAGCTGGCAATCTGCAGGTAGGGCAGCTCTGTGAGACGGGTGCTGGTCAGCCGATTCCCATCCACCTTCAGCCACAGAAGGTGGATGAGGCTACCCAGAGGAGACAGATCTCGCAGTTGGTTCTCTGACAAGTCCACATAACGCAAGTGAATGTAGTTCTGGAGAAGGCTGATATCTGTCAGGTCCCTAGCACAGGATGAGGATGTGAAACAAACATCCAGCTTTCTTCCTCCCCTCCCTCTCCTCCACTCTGCCCCTCCCCACTGTTGGGGAGCCAGTCTCCTCCTCTGCAGTTCACCTACATTTCATGTCCAGAGAAGCTTCTCCAGACCAGAAGGAGGGAAAAGGCAGATCGTGGAGTGAGCAGAGGGGTTGGAAACAGAGCCCCTGAGTGACCCCTAGGTGGAGCCCCCTCCCAGAAATGCAGAAGGAGCTGTCAGCTGGCAGAAACTGAGGGGAGGAAACAAGAGAGGCTGTGAATAGATAAGTCCATCAGATAGTGGTCCTAGCATTGAGGGCTGGGTGGGGGAAAAAGGGAGATGGGGAAGGACCAGGCTGCAGGGCCAGGAGGCTGGAATGCATAGTTAGTGACAAGGGCTGGTTCTAGGGGCAGGCGAGCAGGGCAGTTGCCCTGTGTACCAACTTCCAGGGGTCCCCAACCTCTCCTGATTGTCTGGCCTTTTCTTTTCTTTTCTTTTCTTTTCTTTTGGCAGGGCCACTCAGGCATAGGGTGCAGAAAACATTTTCCACCCTGGCCAGCAAAACAGAAAAGTCTGCTCCTGATTAATGAAAGACAGGAAGGTCTCTCTAGTACCTGGTGGACATGGCCAGGATGGGACTCAGTTCACAGGGATGCAAGTTCCAAAGTCTCCCAAGAATGTCCTCCCCAGGACACTTATGGGTCCATGGATTACAACTGGTGGGTGAGGAAGAGGATGATTCAGGTGGCTGCTGAGTTTGGTGGTGACAGTCACTTGAACAGCTCCAGGAATCAGTGCAAAGGGCATAGCTCCAGGGATGTCATCTAAGCCTCCCCACTATTCACAAGAGGAGAGCTGCTGAGAGCATTTCTTGGAGCATCCATCTATCTATCCATCTGTCATATCTACCCAGTCATATCTATCTGGATGTTGATATTGGTATTCTCAACAATGTATTTGGGCATCTACGTGAGCCTACTGATCAGAGTGATCTGGAATGGGGTATCTCAGAGGTAACTTAGGGCTGGCTAACTGTGGTGATGTCTCCACAAGGACATGATGTCTGGCCGGCTGCAACCTAGGAGTCCAACCAGAGAGACAGAGCCGTAGAAATGCTTTGCTGGCCCAACGAGCTGAACTCCATTTGGCCAGTCATCTCCTGGTGCCAGCTTTGACTTGGGAGAAGCAGACACAGGGAGGGAGGAGGGCCACTAACAAAGTGACAAAGGAGCAGCAAACAGCAGAGAGGCTAACAGAGGGAGTTTGCCTGGGATCTGCCTGAGAGGAGGTACGCTAAGGGCTGCATTAAGGAGGCTGTGTTGGTGAGTATCTGAGTGTCTGTTGTGGGGACAGTTTGACAATTTGACCATGTGCTTGACTGGTTGTTTGAAAAGTGTGAATTGGGAGTGCTTTGTTCCAGGTGAGCCTTGAGTGGGCCTGACTGTTATAAAAAGCCAGTCAGCTGTGAACCAGCTGAGCAGCAAACAGCAGAGAGGCTAACAGAGGGAGTTTGCCTGGGAGTTCGCCTGGGGAGAGCCCACTGAGGCTTACATCTTGCCGGCTTCCCTGAGTAGTTACTACAACTCCTGAGGAAGCTCATAGAAGGAAGGTAATATGGATGGGGAGTGTTCAGCTGTTGTGACCTGCACTGGATGTGCCATGTTTGTCTTTCTTCCACAGGGCAGAAGCAACTTTGTCTGTACAAAGTGCAAGCTGGTCTCCATATTGGAAGAGAAGGTTCAAGGTCTAGAGCAACAGGTATCGATCCTGCGTTGCATAAGAGAAACTGAAGATTTCCTGGACAGACGTCAGGATATGCTTCTACGGACACAACGTTCTGAAGATTCAGAGCAGGCTGTGCAGCGGGGACAGGAGAACGGTGAAGAAATTTGGCAGCATGTGACCTCCAGAAAAAGAAAGGGGAGCATCCATGTACCAGCAACACAGATACAGGTAAGTAACTGTTTTCATGTTCTCTCCACAGGTACTAATGCCGAGAGTGGACTAGATGATACGTCTGAGGGAAGGGAGCAGAAGGAGACTCCGCAGATTGGAAGGCAAGAGATGCACTGTCCTAGGGTTGGGGGTTCCAGGACCCCCGCTCCCAAGAGAAGGAGGCGGGTGGTGGTGGTCGGGGACTCTCTCCTCAGGGGGACTGAGTCATCTATCTGCCGCCCCGACCGGGAAAACCAAGAAGTCTGCTGCTTGCCAGGAGCTAGGATTCACGATGTGATGGGGAGACTGCCGAGACTCATCAAGCCCTTGGATTGCTACCCCTTCCTGCTTCTCCACGTGGGCACCAATGATACTGCCAAGAATGACCTTGAGCAGATTACTGCAGACTACGTGGCTCTGGGAAGAAGGATAAAGGAGTTTGAGGTGCAAGTGGTGTTCTCGTCCATCCTCCCCGTGGAAGGAAAAGGCCTGGGTAGAAATCGTGGAAGTCAACGAATAGCTGGAAGTCAACGAATAGCTATGCAGGTGGTGTTGGAGAGAAGGCTTTGGATTCTTTGACCATGGGATGGTGCTCCAAGAAGGAGGAGTGCTAGGCAGAGACGGGCTCCACCTAACGAAGAGAGGGAAGAGCATCTTCGCAAGCAGGCTGGTTAACCTAGTGAGGAGGGCTTTAAACTAGGTTCACCGGGGGAAGGAGACCAAAGCCCTGAGGGAAGTGGGATACCGGGAGGAAGCACGAGCAGGAGTGCGCAAGAGGGGAGGACTCCTGCCTCATACTGGGAAAGAGGGACGATCAGCAAGTTATCTCAAGTGCCTATACACAAATGCAAGAAGCCTGGGAAACAAGCAGGGAGAACTGGAAGTCCTGGCACAGTCAAGGAATTATGATGCGATTGGAATAACAGAGACTTGGTGGGATAACTCACATAACTGGAGTACTGTCATGCATGGATATAAACTGTTCAGGAAGGACAGGCAGGGCAGAAAAGGTGGGGGAGTTGCATTGTACGTAAGGGAGCATTATGACGGCTCAGAGCTCCGGTACGAAACTGCAGAAAAACCTGAGAGCCTCTGGATTAAGTTTAGAACTGTGAGCAACGAGGGTGATGTCGTGGTGGGAGTCTGCTATAGACCACCGGACCAGGGGGATGAGGTGGATGAAGCTTTCTTCCGGCAACTCACGGAAGTTAGTAGATCACAGGCCCTGGTTCTCATGGGAGACTTCAATCACCCTGATATCTGCTGGGAGAGCAATACAGCGGTGCACAGACAATCCAGGAAGTTTTTGGAAAGTGTAGGGGACAATTTCCTGGTGCAAGTGCTGGAGGAACCAATGAGGGGCAGAGCTCTTCTTGACCTGCTGCTCACAAACCAGGAAGAATTAGTAGGGGAAGCTAAAGTGGATGGGAACCTGGGAGGCAGTGACCATGAGATGGTCAAGTTCAGGATCCTGACACAGGGAAGAAAGGAGAGCAGCAGAATATGGACCCTGGACTTCAGAAAAGCAGACTTGGACTCCCTCAGGGAACTGATGGGCAGGATCCTCTGGGAGAATAACATGAGGGGGAAAGGAGCCCAGGAGAGCTGGCTGTATTTTAAAGAATCCTTATTGAGGTTACAGGGACAAACCATCCCGATGTGTAGAAAGAATAGTAAATATGGCAGGCGACCAGCTTGGGTTAACAGTGAAATCCTTGCTGATCTTAAACTCAAAAAAGAAGCTTACAAGAAGTGGAAGATTGGACAAATGGCCAGGGAAGAATATAAAAATATTGCTGGGGGATGCAGGAGTGAAATCAGGAAGGCCAAATCACACCTGGAGTTACAGCTAGCAAGAGATGTTAAGAGTAACAAGAAGGGTTTCTTCAGGTATGTTAGCAACAAGAAGAAAGTCAAGGAAAGTGTGGGCCCCTTACTGAATGAGGGAGGCAACCTAGTGACAGAGGATGTGGAAAAAGCTAATGTATTCAATGCTTTTTTTGCCTCTGGCTTCACGAACAAGGTCAGGTCCCAGACTACTGCACTGGGCAGCACAGCATGGGAAGGAGGTGACCAGCCCTCTGTGGAGAAAGAAGTGGTTCGGGACTATTTAGAAAAGCTGGACGAGCACAAGTCCATGGGGCCGGATGCGCTGCATCCGAGAGTGCTAAAGGAACTGGCGGATGTAATTGCATAGCCATTGGCCATTATCTTTGAAAACTCATGGCGATCAGGGGAAGTCCCGGACAACTGGAAAAAGGCTAATGTAGTGCCCATCTTTAAAAAAGAGAAGAAGGAGGATCCTGGGAACTACAGGCCAGTCAGCCTCACCTCAGTGCCTGGAAAAATCATGGAGCAGGTCCTCAAGGAATCAATTCTGAAGCACTTAGAGGAGAGGAAAGTGTTCAGGAACAGTCAGCATGGATTCACCAAGGGCAAGTCATGCCTTACTAATCTAATTGCCTTCTATGTCGAGATAACTGGCTCTGTGGATGAGGGGAAAGCGGTGGACATGTTGTTCTTTGACTTTAGCAAAGCTTTTGACACGGTCTCCCACAGTATTCTTGCCAGCAAGTTAAAGAAGTATGGGCTGGATGAATGGACTATAAGGTGGATAGAAAGTTGGCTAGATTGTCGGGCTCAACGGGTAGTGATCAATGGCTCCACGTCTAGTTGGCAGCCGGTATCAAGTGGAGTGCCCCAAGGGTCGGTCCTGGGGCCGGTTTTGTTCAATATCTTCATAAATGATCTGGAGGATGGAGTGGATTGCACCCTCAGCAAGTTTGCAGGTGACACTAAACTGAGAGGAGAGGTAGATACGCTGGAGGGTAGGGATAGGATACAGAGGGCCCTAGACAAATTAGAGGATTGGGCCAAAAGAAATCTGATGAGGTTCAACAAGGACAAGTGAGGAGTCCTGCACTTAGGATGGAAGAATCCCATCCACCGCTACAGACTAGGGACCGAATGGCTAGGCAGCAGTTCTGCAGAAAAGGACCTAGGGGTTACAGTGAACGAGAAGCTGGATATGAGTCAACAGTGTGCCCTTGTTGCCAAGAAGGCTAACAGCATTTTGGGCTGTATAAGTAGAAGTATTGCCAGGAGATCGAGGGACATGATCGTTCCCCTCTATTCGGCATTGGTGAGGCCTCATCTGGAGTACTGTGTGCAGTTTTGGGCCCCACACTACAAGAAGGATGTGGAAAAATTGGAAAGCATCCAGCGGAGGGCAACAAAAATGATTAGGGGACTGGAACACATGACTTATGAGGAAAGGCTGAGGGAACTGGGATTCTTTAGTCTGCAGAAGAGAAGAATGAGGGGGGATTTGATAGCTGCTTTCAACTACCTGAAAGGGGGTTCCAAAGAGGATAGATCTAGACTGTTCTCAGTGGTAGCAGATGACAGAACAAGGAGTAATGGTCTCAAGTTGCAGTGGGGGAGAATTAGGTTGGATATTAGGAAAACCTTTTTCACTAGGATGGTGGTGAAACACTGAAATGCGTTACCTAGGGAGGTGGTGGAATCTCCTTCCTTAGATATTTTTAAGGTCAGGCTTGACAAAGCCCTGGCTGGGATGACTTAGTTGGGGATTAGTCCTGCTTTGAGCAGGGGGTTGGACTAGATGACCTTCTGAGGTCCCTTCCAACCGTGATATTCTATGATTCTATTACAGCCCCAAAACCTATATCCCTTCCCATCATCCCAGGGTACAGTCAGAGGTAACTCAGAGTGTGATCTATCCAGGATATTGAGTGGGATGCCCCACCAACCTTGACAGCCCATACAGAAAGAAGCCCACACTACTGGGCACTGCAATCCATTCCCCATTAATCATTGTTCCAGAATTTCTCCCCCAACCTACTCCCATCCACCTAGAAAGGGTGCTGCAGGAAGGGTGTTGACTTCTGCCCTGCTGCCAGTGGGTTGGGTGGAAGGAGGATTTGACTGTGCATGTTATCACACTCACTTTTCCTTTGCCTCTAGTTTCACATAGGCATGAGCCAAGCCATTGCCAGTTTTACACAAGAGGGAGAGGCCTTCCTTCAAGATCTCCTCTGTAAGAAGGCGGGGAGACAAGCTCTGAAGGGGGGAGGTGGGGAATGGAGAGAGACAGAAACAAACAGTCAGAGAAAGAGAGACTTAGAGATAACATCACACAAAAATAAGGCAGGGTCAGTCTCCCAGCTCACTCCTAACCCCAGCCATGTCCCTTACAAATTCCCTCCCCTCACGCTCAGGGTCCTTCTCTCCATGTCAGGCTTCCTTACCTCCTCCTCCTCCTCCTCTGTTGGCTCCTTCTCTTCCTCCCCCTCCTCTCCCTCCTTTTCTCGTTCACTGGCACCGTAGTCCTCCTCAAAGTCCTCATCTGACATCTTCAGAGACTAGAAAAAGCCCCATTAGAAGATAATTTAATTCCAGCCAGAGAGCCCTGACCAGCAGCCCCTCGGGCGTGTGTGTAACCCTGGCTGCCAGCAGTGAGGAGAGCTTTGCCCTACCTACACCCGTGCTCCTGGCTGCTGTGCCTTGGCCTGCGCTGGGGGCCCCCTTTGAGGGGAGAGAGGAGTTCAGTCTGTGCAGAGGCTCCCAGTCACACTGATGCAGACCCAGTCCTGCTGAGAACCCACCACCTTGCTGCACACAAAGGGCCCTGAGAAATCTCCACAAGGTGGGGATGGGGCGTCAGCTGGGGCCAGAGGGGCCTGCTGACCAGAGGGGAGAAGCCCTGTATCCCAGCACCAGCTGGTGCCCTAGACCTAGGTCCAGACTGGCACCAAGGCAATAAACCTGCTCCCCTGACCCCAGCTCTGAGCTGCTCCAGGAGCCTGGGACCTGCAGGGAGGGGGAGGGTTTGTTTATTGCTGCTATGGAAACCCAGGAGATGGGTGGGAACTGTTGCCAGGATCTCCTGCCATGGCAACAGTTGGTGATTGACAAGTCCCTGTGGGCCAGAATTCCTAGGAAGTTGGCAGGAGTCAGACAGGAGAGACTCAGAAGTTGATTGGCTGTCACTTGATAGGAGGAGGTGGTGTGCGATTTGCATGATGGGGTGAGAACAAGCAGGGGGGAGAAGGCAGGAGCCAGCGGGCCTAGGAACTGGGGTGGGGCCAGGGGGCAGCTGTGATGTGGTCATAGTGCTGTAAAGGGGGGGTCGGGGGGTGCAGCGCTTTGGAGGGAAGGACTCGCTGTTCTGCCCAGGGGGCTGCAACCTAGCATGGCCGACGGAGCACCAGCAATCATAGGAGCTGGAACTAGGGCCGCTGCTGCACCCACTGGCTTGAAGTGTTCCCATCGTGTACAGGGTTTACAGTTTGGTTCAGTGGCTCTCAGCACCCCCATTAAAAAAGCTGTTCCAGAACCCCTGCCAGAAATGGCCCGCTCTGCAGAGCCCAGCAGCTCCAAATGAGAGGCGCTAGCCAGGCCAGGCCATGCTGGTGCTGTGGCTGCCCTGTGCTGGGGTTGTAGCAGAGCCGTGCTAGTGTTGACCCAGGTAGGCCATGCTGTGGCTGCACTGTGCTGGCCGAGCAGCATCTGTGGATCCAGCATTGACATTTTTGATCTCTTGTCAGTTAAGCTTTGGAATCATTTTGAACCGTAGGTACTTTAACTAGTGATGCAGTGGGTGCTGCCACACCCCTGACTTGAAGTGGTTTCCATTATGTACAGGGTTTACAATTTGATTCAATGGCTCTAAGCACCCTCACTATACAAATTGTTCCAGCTCCCCTGTTTTGAACCCACAATGTTTACAAGCATCAGCTGGGAAACATTCAGGTAGAACCCATCTCTGCTCGCTGTCAGTGACTGTCCAGCCACCACCAGAGTGCAGCTAATACCAGTGTCCAAGGTGCTATTTCCATGATCTCTAATGTACACTGTTTCACAACCCTAATGTTCCTGTTACACAAGCTGTGACTCTTGTGTTCTGCTGTTCAGGGGACTGGACTGATTCAGTCTGTTCTGGTCACTGTTCAATGTGCCTCTTAAGCCCCAGCCCCCATAGTCCATCTGTCACCTAGGAATCTTGCCACAAACCCAGTTTGCTCCTGCAACCTCTCTGTGCAGGATCACTTGACTGCTGATCAACAAGATCTGCCAAATTCTACTTCCTCTTCCCCCACAGTTCCCTCTGTTCCTTTGATCCAGACTCTGTGGTTCCTTGAAGGCTCTCCACTTCTAATTTCTCCTCCTACTTAATTGGCCCCATCCCCTCCTGGCTGCTCACTTCCTTTGCCTCCATTCTCATGATCCCCTCCCTTCTTAACCTCTTTTTGTTTTCTGGTACTTCCTCTCTTAATACAAGCCTGCTCCTCTTCCCCAATCTCAAACAGCCATCCCTCCACCTCTCCTGCAGCTCCAGTTGCTGCCTCATACTTAGGGCTCTACCAAATTCATGGTCCATTTAGGTCAATTTTACAGTCATTGGATTTTAAAAATTGTAAATTTCATGATTTCAGCTATTTAAATCTGAAATTTTACATTGTTGTAATTGTAGGGATTCTGACCCAAAATGGAGTCGGGGGGGGGGGGGGTGTCGCAAGGTTATTGTAGGTAAGGTTGCAGTACTGCTATTCTTACTTCTGCACCGCTGCTGGTGGTGGCGCTGCCTTCAGAGCTAGGCAGCTGGAGAGTGGCGGCTGCTGGCCGAGGTCCCAGCTCTGAAGGCAGAGCCACTGTCAGCAGCAGCACAGAAGGAAGGATGGCATGATATGATATTGCCATCTTTGCTTCTGTGCTGCTGCCTGCAGAGCTGGACCCTCAGTCAGCAGACGGCACTCTCCGGCTGGCCAACTCTGAAGGCAGAAGCGCAGAAGTCAGGGTGGCATGGTATGGTATTGCCAGCCTTACTTCTGCACTGCTGCTGGCGGGGCACTGCCTTTAGAGCTGGGTGCCTGGCCAGCAGCTGCCACTCTGCGGCCACCCAGCTCTGAAGTCAGTGCTGAAGTAAGGGTGGCAATACTGCAACCCCCCTAAAATAACCTTGCAACCCCCCTGCAAATCCCTTTTGGGTCAGGACCGCCAATTTGAGAAATGCTGGTTCCCACTGTGAAATCTGTATAGTATGGGGTAAAAGCACACAAAAGACCAGATTTCACAGGGGGAGACCAGATTTCAGGGTCCATGGCTTGTTTTTCATGACCGTGAATTTGGTAGGGCCCTACTCACATTCTGTCTTTCCTCTGTTCACACTGTTTCAACTGCCATTTACCTTGTTGGCTCACAGATCAACCTCTCTGCTCCCATGCTGTCTCCCTGACTGTGTCCTGTGAGGAAATGGATTAGATGCTATATGATGGGGCTTCTCCATCTCTTGGGCAAACTCCTGGAGCATCCATAGGGAACAATCCTGCCTTGGGTCCCTTCTCCTCATGGGACTTTGCCAGACTGATTTCACACCATGTGGTGAAGGGGCTCATCCCATTGATTCTGTGTTTACCCACAGTCATTATGCTTATATCATGAGGGGGTTTCTTCATCGGACATTTCAGACCCTTTGTAATCTATCACATGCTTTGGCCCATCCCCTCCAGCTCTAAATCCTGCAGAAAACCCTGGAGAGACCATACTAGATATGCTCTTACATTCAATTGCTAATGGTTTAAGGACCCTGTAAAGTAATCTGGAAAATCAGTTCTGGGGGTGGGGAGGGGAAGGGCTTGTGTGCTTCCCCCCTCTCCCCCCGCCTTCCCTTTTATTCTGATGGATTAAAAAGACCTGGAAGGCTTTTGTTTGTGTTTAATTTTTTTCCAGCCTGACTTTTACAATAACAATTCAGGTCTTGTCTACTTTCTTTTTCCTGGAAGACTCTACAGAGGATTGGAGAATGTGTATTCTTATGAAATCAGATTCGTTAAGAGGGGAAAGGATTTTTTTTTTAAATTCAAGCGGTGTAAAACTTTTTTTTAACACCTAACCATATACAATGCCTAACAAATAGTTTGGAGAAGGATCTTTAACAAAAAGAGGTTAACACTCTGTGACTCTTCAGGTTTCAGAGGAACAGCCGTGTTAGTCTGTATTCGCAAAAAGAAAAGGAGTACTTGTGGCACCTTAGAGACTAACCAATTTATTTGAGCATGAGCTTTCGTGAGCTACAGCTCACTTCATCAGATGTTTACCGTGGAAACTGCAGCAGACTTTATATACACACAGAGAATATGAAACAATACCTCCTCCCACCCCACTGTCCTGCTGGTAATAGCTTATCTAAAGTGATCAACAGGTGGGCCATTTCCAGCACAAACCCAGGTTTTCTCACCCTCCACCCCCCACACAAATTCACTCTCCTGCTGGTGCTAGCCCATCCAAAGTGACAACTCTTTACATAGTCAAGTCGGGCTATTTCCTGCATAGATCCAGGTTTTCTCACATCCCCCCACCCCCATACACACACAAACTCACTCTCCTGCTGGTAATAGCTCATCTAAACTGACCACTCTCCAAGTTTAAATCCAAGTTAAACCAGAACATCTGGGGGGGGGGGGGGGGTAGGAAAAAAACAAGAGGAAACAGGCTACCTTGCATAATGACTTAGCCACTCCCAGTCTCTATTTAAGCCTAAATTAATAGTATCCAATTTGCAAATGAATTCCAATTCAGCAGTTTCTCGCTGGAGTCTGGATTTGAAGTTTTTTTGTTTTAAGATAGCGACCTTCATGTCTGTGATTGCGTGACCAGAGAGATTGAAGTGTTCTCCGACTGGTTTATGAATGTTATAATTCTTGACATCTGATTTGTGTCCATTTATTCTTTTACGTAGAGACTGTCCAGTTTGACCAATGTACATGGCAGAGGGGCATTGCTGGCACATGATGGCATATATCACATTGGTGGATGTGCAGGTGAACGAGCCTCTGATAGTGTGGCTGATGTTATTAGGCCCTGTGATGGTGTCCCCTGAATAGATATGTGGGCACAATTGGCAACGGGCTTTGTTGCAAGGATAAGTTCCTGGGTTAGCGGTTCTGTTGTGTGGTATGTGGTTGTTGGTGAGTATTTGCTTCAGGTTGCGGGGCTGTCTGTAGGCAAGGACTGGCCTGTCTCCCAAGACTTGTGAGAGTGTTGGGTCATCCTTTAGGATAGGTTGTAGATCCTTAATAATGCGTTGGAGGGGTTTTAGTTGGGGGCTGAAGGTGACCGCTAGTGGCCCACTCAGAGAACTCCCACTCCATGTATCTGTGTCCTCTAAGGAGCTGGCAGCAAAAAGTAGGGAAAATGAGATTTGGCATTCCTGACAGTTCTAAAATTAAAAATTAAGCAGAGCCCCAGAGTCCCACCCACTCTTTCCCACTTAAAAAAGTTCTTTCAGGACTCTCTATTCTCCATGAAGAAGCAAAATAATGGCACAAATTCCATTTTTTCCCTTTGCAGTTCACCTGCATGGGCTTTTGCTCAACTCCTCATCTGGCAGTGCTGAGCAAGATAGAAGGAGCAGGAAACCAACAGACCAGAGCCTCATCTTGCTCTAATCCCTGCATGAGATGCACTTTGTTCTAGTGGTGGCAAAGAAATCAAAAGATCATCCCAGTACACAATTCCTCCTGAGTATTCCAGGGTCTGTGGTCTCAGGCCTGGTCTACACTACGAGTTTAGGTCAAATTTAGCAGCGTTATCTCGATTTAACCCTGCACCCATCCACACGACGAAGCCCTTTTTTTCGACTTAAAGGGCTCTTAAAATCAATTTCTGTACTCCACCCCTGACAAGGGGATTAGCGCTGAAATCGGTCTTGCTGGGTCGAATTTGGGGTACTGTGGACGCAATCTGACAGTATTGGCCTCCGGGGGCTATCCCAGAGTGCTCAGTTGTGACCGCTCTGGACAGCACTCTCAACTCAGATGCACTGGCCAGGTATACAGGAAAAGTCCTGGGAACTTTTGAATTTCATTTCCTGTTTGGCCAGCGAGGCGAGCTCACCTGCACAGGTCACCATGCAGAGCTCATCATCACAGGAGACCATGCAGTCCCGGAATCGCTGAAGAGCTCCAGCATGCACCGAACGGGAGGTATGGGAGCTGATCGCTGTACGGGGAGACAAATCCGTGCTGGCAGAACTCTGTTCAAAAAGACGAAATGCCAAAATATTTGAAAAAATCTCCAATGACATGAAGGACAGAGGCTATAACAGGGACCTGTAGCAGTGCCGCGTGAAAATTAAGGCGCTCAGGCAAGCCTACCAAAAAACCAGAGAGGCAAACGGCTGCTCTGGTTCAGAGCCCCAGACATGCCGCTTCTATGATGAGCTGCATGCCATTCTAGGGGGTGCAGCCACCACTACCCCAACCCTGTGCTTTGACTCTGTCCAAGAAGTGGCAGGCAACACAGAAGCGGGTTTTGGGGGCGAGGAAGTGGCAGGCAGCAAGGAAGCGGAGAAACCGGTTTCCCCAACAGCCAGGATCTGTTTCTCACTCTGGACCTGGAGCCAGTACCCCCCCGAACCCACCCAAGGAGGGCTCCCAGACCGAGAAGGCGGAGAAGGGACCTCTGGTCAGTGTACCTTTGTAAATATTATACATGGTTTAAAAGCAAGCACGTTTAATGATTAATTTGCCCTGGCATTCGCGGCCAGTACAGCTACTGGAAAAGTCTGTTAACATGTCTGGGGATGGAGCGGAAATCCTCCAGGGACATCTCCATAAAGCTCTCCTGGATGTACTCCCAAAGCCTTCGCAAAAGGTTTCTGGGGAGGGCAGCCTTATTCCATCCTCCATGGTAGGACACTTTATCACACCAGGCCAGTAGCACGTAGTCAGGAATCCTTGTGGAACAAAGCATTGCAGCGTATGGTCCCGGTGTTTGCTGGCATTCAAACAACGTCCATTCTTTATCTCTCTTTGTTATCCTCAGGAGAGTGATATCATTCATGGTCACCTGGTTGAAATAGGGTGGTTTTAGTATGTGGACATTCAGAGGTGCCCATTTCTGCTGGGCTGTTTGCCTGTGGCTGAACAGAAATCTTCCCCGCTGTTAGCCACGCGGTGGGGGGAGGGGTGAAGCCCTCATCCCCGAGAATTGTGTGTGTGTGTGTGTGGGGGGGGGGGGGTTAGTTGGGTTTCTGCTGCACATGAACCCAGAAACCGCAGCCCCTCCTTTTAAATTACCAACCCATTTTTAATGGCCAACCTAACGGCTACTTCGTATGGGAAATGAGGGCGCTGCTGTTTGAAACCATTTCCACATGTTATGAAGATTAAAGAAGCCAAAAGACTGTGGCTTACCATGGCTGCCTGCAAGCCGAATTCTGTTGCCTGGCACTGCGTGTGTGATCTCTCACACCAAACCAGCAGACCCTCAATAAGAGGCCAAATGCGACCTTGTAAAGAAAGCACATGTGCTATGTAATGTTAACAGCAAGGTTTACCGTGAAAGAGTGTACCCATTGTTCTATAAAATGTGTCTTTTTAAATACCACTCCTTTTTTTTTTTCCCCCTTCACCAGCTGGATGTGTTTCTCCTTCCCAGAGGCTAGCGAAGATTAGAAGGTGAAAAAAAACTCGTGATGAAATGTTCACTGACCTCAAGCTGTCCTCCCACACTGACAGAGCACAGCAAAATACGTGGAAGCAGACAATCTCAGAGTGCAGGAAAACACAATATGACCACGAGGAGAGGTGGCGGGCTGAAGATGGTAGGTGGTGTCAGCTTGCTGAAAGAAGGCAGGAGTCAATGCTTAGGCTGCTGGAGGATCAAACTTATATGCTCCAGCGTATGGTTGAGCTGTAGGAAAGGCAGCAGGAGAACAGACCACCGCCACAGCCCCTGTGTAACCAACCGCCCTCCTCCCCAAGTTCCATAGCCTCCTCACCCAGACACCCAAGAACGCGGTGGGGGGGCCTCCGGCCACCCAGCCACTCCACTCCAGAGGATTGCCCAATCAACAGAAAGCTGGCATTCAATAAGTTTTAAAGTGCTGTGTGGCCTTGTCCTTCCCTCCTCCACCACCTCTCCCGGGCTACCTTGGCAGTTATCCCCCTATTTGTGTCATGAATAAATAAAGAATTCATGAAAGTGAAGCAACAGTGACTTTATTGCCTCTGCAAGCGGTGATCGAAGGGGGGAGGGGAGGTGCTTAGCTTACAGGAAAGTAGAGTGAAACCGGGGTGAGGGAGGTTTCCATCAAGGAGAAACAAACGGAACTTTCACACCGTAGCCTGGCCATTTCTGAAACTGGTTTTCAAAGCTTCTCTGATGCGCACCGCACCCTCCTGTACTCTTCTAACCGCCTTGGTGTCTGGTTGCGTGTAATGAGCGGCCAGGCGATTTGCCTCAACCTCCCACCTCCCCATAAACATCTCCCCATTACTCTCACAGATATTGTGGAGTGCACAGCAAGCAATAATAACAGTGGGAATATTGGTTTTGCTGAGGTCTAACCGAGTCAGAAAACTGCACCAGCGTGCTTTTAAATGCCCAAATGCACATTCTACCACCATTCTGCACCTGCTCAGCCTATAGTTGAACAGCTCCTGACTACTGTCAAGGGTGCCTGTGTATGGCTTCATGAGCCATGGGATTAAGGGGTAGGCTGGGTCCCCAAGGATAACTATAGGTATTTCAACATCCCCAACAGTAATTTTCTGGTCTGGAAAGTAAGTCCCTTGCTGCAACTTTTAAAACAGACCAGAGTTCCTGAAGATGCGAGCGTCATGTACCTTTCCCAGCCATCCCACGTTGATGTTGGTGAAACGTTCCTTGTGATCCACCAGTCCTTGCAGCACCACGGAAAAGTACCCCTTGCAGTTTATGTACTCGCCAGCTTGGTGCTCCGGTGCCAAGATAGGAATATGGGTTCCGTCTATCGCCCCACCACAGTTAAGGAGTCCCATTGCAGCAAAGCCATCCACTATGACCTGCACATTTCTCAGAGTCACTACCCTTGATATCAGCAGCTCAGTGATAGTGTTGGCCACTTGCATCACAGCAGACCCCACAAGCGAGATTTGCCCACTCCAAATTGATTCCTGACTGACCGGTAGCTGTCTGGCATTGCAAGCTTCAACAGGGCTATCATCACTCGCTTGTGAATTGTGAGGGCTGCTCTCATCTTGGTGGTATTGTGCTTCAGAGCAGGGGAAAGCAAGTCACAAAGTTCCATGAAAGTGCCCTTACGCATGCAAAAGTTTCACAGCCACTGGGAATCATCCCAGACCCGCAACACTATGCGGTCCCACCACTCTGCTTGTTTCCTGGGCCCAGAATCAGCGTTCCACACCATGAGCCTGCCCAAGTGACACCATGATGTGCAGATTGCAGGGGCCCGTACTTTGTGAGAAGTCTATGTCCATGTCCTCATCACTCTTGTCACCACGCTGCAGTCACCTGCTCCTCTCCTGGTTTCGCTTTTCTTGCAGGTTATAGTCCTGCATATCCTGCTGGATAATGTACGTGGTGTGTATAGTGCTCATAATTGCCACGTTGATCTGAGCGGGCTCCATGTTCCCAGTGCTATGGCGTCTGCACTGAAAAAAGGCGCAAAACGATTGTCTGCCGTTGCCTTGACGGAGGAAGGGGCGACTGACAACATGGCTTACAGGGTTGACTTACAGGTAATTAAAATCAACAAAGGGGGTGGCTTTGCATCATGGAGAAACAGAATGTTCCCCTCAAGGATTGAACTCAGAACCCTGGGTTTTGCAGGCCATTGGTTTCAGGGAGGGAGGGAGGAGAAAATGAATACAAAACAAATCTGGTCTATTTCTTCTTTAGATCCACTTCATCTATCTTTATACATCTTGCTGGCAGCAGACTGTGCAGTAAGACTGTTGGCCATCATCATCTCCTGGGTGCTCGTCAGAAGATGGTGCAGTATGACTGCTGGCCATCATCATCTCCTGGCTGCTCATTAAAAGACAGTGCAGTAGGACTGTCGGCAGGACTGAATCACCATAAGACAAAACTTAAAAGGGTAATGACCTGGCTGAGTCACTCCCATGTTTGCCCAGGCACGCCTGACCTCACCAAGGTCAGTTAAAAGAGCACCTTGGAGTATGTCAATGATGGCTACCAGTCATGCTGCCTTGTCTGCTGCTAAAAGGCAATGAGCAGCTGCTGTGTAGCAATGCAGTACCACGTCTGCCAGCACCCAGGAGACATACGGTGACGGTGAGCTGAGCAGGCTCCATGCTTGCTGTGGTATGGCGTCTGCTCGGGTAACCCAGGAAAAAAGGCGCGAAATGATTGTCTGCCATTGCTTTCACGGAGGGAGGGAGGGAAGGGGAGGCCTGACGATATGTATCCAGAACCACCCGCGACAATGTTTTTGCCCCAGCAAGCATTGGGATTTCTACCCAGAATTCAAATGGGCGGCGGAGACTACGGGAACTGTGGGATAGCTACCCACAGTGCAACGCTCTGGAAGTCGACGGTTGCCTCGGTAGTGTGGACGCACTCCGCCGACTAAAAGCCGGATTAATGCACTAAGACCATTTGTATGGGGACACACGCAATCGACTATATAAAAACGCTTTCTACAAAACCGACTTCTATAAATTCGACCTAATTTCATAGTGTAGACATAGCCTTAGTCTGTCTACTTACATAGCACCCACTGCCTGGTGCCTGCCAGGGATAAGTTTCACAGTCCCCCTGTCAGAAGTGGGCATTATTCTGCTTTCCTCTCATGGAGAATCTGTGAATCTTGCAGATTATATGATTTTTTCCCCCCTTGAAATGCCCCACTCCCTACACACACACACACACACACACACACCCATGTTCCCAGGGAAGGTGGATTTTGCCACGCTGAATTTCAGTCTTTTCTCCCCTTCTTGTGATTAGTGCTTGTGATTTCTTTCATTATGAAATTGTGGCTAAATCACTTTAGGACCACAAGCCCTACTTTGTACTAATCATATTTGGTATCACAAGGCAGACCTGTGGAGGTGTTCTGTGTGTTTAGTGATGATGTCTCATAGTTTCTTAACATATTTGGCTTCAAGTTTAACCCAATCTTTGAATTTCCTGGTTTGTAATGCCTGATTTTGGGATAATTACACCATCACTTTAACATAGTTTACCCTAAATTACTGACACATACTCTTACGTATAACTCCATTTTAACTTAGATATTGCCTGGGATTTCTTTATCAGCGGTTGTCATTTTTCTCTCCAGAAAGGCCATTCACTGTGTTGGTAACTAAGAAGAGGAATAAAACTTTTCTTCAGCATTCCCATTCCCCCCCAGTTTCTCTCTTGGACCAGCTGTGGTGTGCAGTGATAAAGGGCCTGAATCTGCAAGCTGCTGAATGTCATCAGTTCTCATTAAAAACAGGGGGAGTTGAAGATGCTAAATATCCCTGGGGTTTGTTTCTGAACAGTCCAGCAAGCAAAGACATTTTCTTTGTAGAGATGGAGAGAGCAGAATAGGAAGGCCTTTGAGCCAGCTGGGTGAAGCTGACTCTATCTAATGCAATGTTACTCCCTGTAACACCCAGAGCTCCTTTGCTTCTGGAATCATGTTTTTGGATTGAATTGGAACTTTACAATGAGATTTGTGTTCAGGCTCTGCACATCCATGTGGAAAGAAAGGCAAGGGGCACAAAACCTCCTAGGTAGAAGTCACAAACAGGTCTCAGTTATTGCCTCATTGTTGGCTCATGACCAAGGGGAAGCTGAAGAGCTGAATGCTGGGAGCCCAGCACTGGGTCACAAGTGGGTATGAATCAGACACTACCTGCTTTGTGGCAGATTGCTGCGGGTATGGAATATATGAAATTTGCTTCATTTCTGCTTATTGGCCAGCCGAGGGCGCTCCAAGACAGGCAATCAGTTTAGGTCCAGACTGGAGAGCCCATAAAATGGGGAGTGAATATAAAGATGCAGCCTGTGTATGTACAGCATTCCCAGCTAGCAAGAGTATGGGACAAGGAATGGAACTGGGGTTTCTTGCATGCTTCTGGGAATAAATACCCTCTTTCAAAAAGGCCCATTGGGGTAGGGAAGGGGGAAATCTTGTTGAATCGTGTCAAAACCTTGAAGATTTAAGTAGACACCCCTTGTGGAAATGCAGGTGACAGCAAGAAGAGAATCAAAAGAGGGTGAAGGAGCATGCAGAGGTTTCACATCAATCCTGACCCACAGAACTGCCTCCTATTCCAGGCCTGGGCTTCCTCCTAGCTCTGCTAAAGCCCCCAGCCCTGCCCTGCAGCCCCAAATGCAGCTAGTAACTCCTCTTAACATAATGTGCCTTCCAAATTCAGAGACAAGTCCATCTCATGGGCCTTTTACTGAGGGCTTGTCTACAATACAGGTTATAGTGGTATAACTTATGTCGCTCAGGGGTGTGAAGTAAGTTATACTGACCTAAGTAAGTGCTGGTTTGGACAGCACTATGTTGGTGGGAGAGCTTCTCCCGCTAATATAGCTACCATCTCTCACGGATGTGGTTTTATTATGCCAAGGGTTGCTCTCTCTCATCGGCATAGAGCGTCTTCACCAGACTCGCTGCAGCAGCACAGCAGTCATCATGGGAAAAATCAGAACTTTGTTAGACTTCCTTACACTCCACTACACACACTTCCCCCGTTTTTCTGTTCTCTTTTTATTACTTATCCCCACCTAAACCAGGGGGGAGTCCGACTAACGTAGATTGAAATAATGTGAGGAAATCAGATCCTGTCATGTATTACAATACATTTGTTTTATTATTGATATATTCTTCTGAATGATATGTACTTGATTCATTTTTTTCTTTCTTATATATATATATTACACTATTTTTATGTATGTGTGTGTGTTTATGTGTGTGTGTGTGTATATATATATATATAAAATGTTGTGTAATTTGTTTTTTTTAAGTTCAGATAACTGAGATAAATGGACAGGATGAAATGTAACCAACTGAGTGGAGCACAGAAACGTAAACTGGCGGAAGAAAAGAAACAAAAAACTAGTGACATTTTCCAAAATCTTCCAAAGTTGACATCATTTTTCAAAGCGAATCCATCAGAAGCAACAGCTTCTCTCAGTAGCACAGA